GGGGCAGAGGCCGTCCTCACGTGCCCTCTCCACGCACCCGCAGCCTCTGAGCACACAGCATCGGGGGTTGGCCATTCCCAGAATGCACCAGGACGCAAGGTCTCACGATTCCCGCCAAACTCTCAGAGCAAACCCTGCGTGGTGGGCGGGGAGGCCGAATGTTGTTGCCAGGACCCTGGGCTCTAACCTGGTTGTGAGAAGTGGCCCTAACCTGTCCGCTGAAGCCCTGACGCCAGCTGCCTGGAACGCCCGTCTGTGTACAACAGTGTCCCTGCTGACAGCACCCAGGCCCCGCTCGGCTGGAGGTGGGGTGAGCTGTTCGCCCCAAGGCCCGCCGTCCTAGTGCCTAGGCGCAGCCCCGGACCCACTGCTCCCAGCGCCTGAGGATGATGTGCCCTCAAGCCCGGTGGGCACGGTGCCCTGAATGAGGCTGCAGCCCGTCAGCATCGTGTACTGCGTTAGAGCCATGGCACCCTCCCTGGTGGCACCTGTCCTGGCTTTTACGCCAAGATCAAGTGGGAGCGGTGGTGGCTCCGCATTCGGAGAAGCTCCGAGCGGAGGCAGTGTCAGTGACCGAGAGCAAAGGCTGGAGACGCACTGCTGGGAACCCACCCAGCACCCTGCCCTGGGGTCTCGGACCCGTTTCCCGCCTCCACACAGGCCTAGTCACTCAGCAATATGGAGCACCGGGGGCTGGGCTGCGGGGGGTAGAGGCGCCGTCCGGCTGTGGGAAGCCCTAAGGGCTGAGGTTTGCTGTCCTACGGACCAGCTGAGAGGAATGGAGGATGGAGTCTGTTAAGAGAAATGGTAAGACGTGGTTTCGTGTCGTCATCTAACAAACACGAAACCACCAGCCAGCCCCTGAGCTGGGCTGCCTGGCAGCTGGGTGAGCCCTGTGCCCACCAGCTGCCCACACGCACTGCAGTCCTGCCAGCCCTGGGCACCACCTCAGGGATGACCAGACCAGCCAGAACACTGTCCGGTGGGAACCAGGACCTGAAGTGCTTAGACACAGGAGCTGAGCGCAGGGAGGAGAAGCTAACGTGGCAGCAGCCACCCAGTGTGAGCAGCGTCTTGGGCAGCACTGGGGGTGGGGTGGGGTGGGTGTTACTGGACGGGGGCACGGGCTGGATGGTGTGCAGGTGCCCCCAGGCATGAGGCTCTGGGCCCCACGCTAGGAATTGAGGACCACAGGGCTCGTGAGCTGGGTTAACTGTGCCATCACTTCCCACAGACCCCCGAGCAGGTAGCCTGTGGCTCAGGCACGAGGTGGGCACAACAGTGATGAGCAGACCCCCTGCACCTGCTGCTTCCTTGGGGACCCCTTAGATGCGGTTGTGACATGTGGTCCGCCTGATCCATGTCCAGGTTCAAAGGCCTCTTGGCCCAGCCTCTGCCCATCGGGGGCAGGACACTCCTCCCCCGCAGCTAACAGCCCCTTAGCACGTGTCTTGTGCTGACCTGCTGTACAGCGGCAGCATTCACCCAAACAAACCACCTCCTTGGTTCTCCCAACACCCGGTCCCACTCCCCGTCACTTCGGAGCTCCCTGACCAAGGCCTAGAACTGAGCAGACAAGTCACGATGTGGCCAAGTCCAAGGGCCACAGGATAGCCCTCAGGGTCAGGAAGACACAGAGACCGCTCGCAGGCGCGTGGTACCTGGGCAAGAGCTCAAAGGGAGAGTTTTCAGCTAATTTCACCAGCACCTTAAGGCACTGGCTGAGGAGGCTGGCTGGAAGGTGGCCTGTGGCTGCGGAGGAGAAAGCAAACAGACGGAGCAGCGCCTCCAGCAGGGGGTGCTGGCCTTGGTCCCCCGCGGCTGAGGGGGTGTCACCAGGGGGAGGCGGGCTCTGGCTTCCTTCCCCCGCTCAGGTGCTGGAGGACGCCCAGGGAGACCACACAGCAGCTCTCCAGGCAGCAGAGGGAGTCCTCGGCGCTGGCCTCCGCCCCGCTGCTCCAGCAGGAGCGTGAGGGCGAGCCCCCCGCAGCGCCGCTCCTCCTGGCTGCGGCCGAGTCCTGCAGCGCCTGGCAGTGTGAGCCCACGAAGAACTGCACCAGGGGGAGCAGGTGCACGGCGCCAGGAAGCGGGCAGAGCGGGAAGGCCCCCGGGTCCCCCTCTGCGGAGGCCCCGGCACCGGAGTCCTCCTCCCTGGCGATCAGGTTCAGTCCCGTCAGAGCCAGGCTCTGTGCTTCTCGTAGGGCCAAGAGGGGGAACGGCCCATCGCGAGGGGCTGTGGTCCTCAGGCCTGAGATCCCAGCCCCGGAGCTGGCGACAGACACAAAAGGAAAGGCCCAGCGTGAGATGGGGATGCGGTCCAGGCCCCAGACAACTTGCCCCCCAAATTCTCTAGCTGCCCTGTCCAGCCACAGGCCTCCCAGGCTGGCCAAGTCCCAGAAAGTTCTGGAAACTTCTTTCTCGACAAGCTTTGTAGGAGTCATGCTTACCTGCCAAGCCCCAGGGGCTGCAGCAGGGTGCTGGTGGGAGCCTCAGAACCACAGCTCAGGAGGTGGCACAGACCGAGGGGGGACCCCGGGACCAACGGCTGCTTCAGGAGAAGGCTGATCAAAATAGAACCTGCAGAAGACAAGGCGACGCTCGCAGGGGCTCACACGAGAGGCCTTTCTGTGTCCTCGGAAGGAGGCGGAGGGCTCCCTGGGTGCCACTAACCCACCGGGGCCCCTGGTGCGGAGGGCTCTGGGACACGCCTGCCGGGGCCCCTGCCATTTTCGTCTCTGCTGAGTCACAGCC